AGAATTTTGCCTTTGTTTTCTTTGACCATGACGTGTGGTTAATTTAATTAGTTGTGGTCAATGATATTTTACTCTTATTTTAAACAACGTGCTTGCCCAATCATCGTCGGGAAGTTTCGGTACAAAATTACTACATAGTCCAGTCTTCAGAGATTTGATCTCTAAAAATGAGATTAACAAACTGAATTTTCTTGAAAATGTCAATTTTAGTACCCCAAAAAGATGAAAAAACATCGAGTTAACAAGAATCTGTAGGCTGCGCCGTAAAAAAAATTAAACAAGAAGTGTAGTTGACATAATTTTGAACAAAAAGTTTATTAACAATTTGATATAAAATGAACCGTTCACTCAGAAACAACGCTTGAAGCAACCGTCGATTTTGAATGACAATTACGCCGCGAAATCAATTTTAAGTAAAATTTGGATCAACTCTCGATATCTGGACACTAAAAATTCTATATCTTTTGATCAGAGTGTCCAATCGACAATAATCGAGCTGCCTTTCAAAGCAGCAGTAGGGGAACTGGAGTAAATTACTCTAAATGAGGTAAAAATGAAATTTTTGGGGGTAAAAATAAAACTTTTGTGAGTAAAAACTCTATATATTCTTAATTAGCTATTTTATAAACCTATTGGTATTTTTTTTAAATTAAACAATTTAGCGACATATGCAGGCATACGTCATCTCACTTCCCACCACAGTGCTATGCTCTAGGTGAGGATACCACGCGAGGGTCTCCGTAATGAACGCACCCTTAAGATGGCAGCAAACAGAAAAAGAACATACAAAGATAAATTCCTTGATTAAGGTTTTACACAAGTATAAGACAATGGTACAATGAAACCACAGTGTAATGTTTGTATGAAGGTATTGACTTCGGAATCGTTAAAAAAAAAGTCAATTGAAGAAACATTTAGATAATTTGCATTCACACCTGTCTTTCAAACCGCTAAATACTTTACAAATTTAGAAATATCTGATAAAAGACAAAAATTAAATAGCAAATTGTTTGGTATATTTGATCAGTATTCAGCATTATGAAATGCTTAAGACCGAAATGAGGTAAGTTTGAAATAAACAAAATAAAAGCTGTAAATGGAATAGAAACAAACGTTAAAGATAAAATCATGAATATAATCCACCATTTCTACTTAGAATTATATAAAACAAAAAAGGAACCACCAGAAGAAATTAAAAACCAACTTAAGGTCAAAATAAAAAATGTCAATTCAGAGCTGCAGCCCGAAATAAGCAAATCAGAAATAAAGAAAAACAAAAAATCGCCTGGAAAAGATGGAATAACTTCAGAAATGCTGAAATATGGTGGAAAAGTAGTAATTAATAATCTACATTCCCTTTTTAACAAGATATTCAAGATGGAATCTTTCTGAATTGAATAAATTCTTTTTAACAAGATGGAATCAGTAACCATTATCCTTTACAAGAAAGGGGATAAAGCAGATATAAAAAACTACCGTTCTATAACACTCCTCAATGGAATGTATAAACTCCTAACAAAAATTTTAACCAATAGATTGACAACAAAATTCGATGGATACCAGTCGAAAGAACAAGCTGGTTTTAGAAAGGGATTCAGCACAAGTGACCATTTACTAAGTATGAAAATACTTATAGAACGAGCAACTGAATACAACATTTCGACAGTGTCGAACATTGGGCAGTGAAAAGTTCTTTGATTAACAGCCGAATTGACCACAGATATACGGAACTAATAACCAATATATATATATATATATATATATAAGGAAGCCAAAACAACAATTAAAGTATATGAAGGAACAAAATCATTACAAATAAGTAGAGGCGTGAGGCAGGGTGATACAATATCACCGAAACTGTTTAATCAGGCTCTTAAAGATACTTTTAAAAGATTAGAATGGGAAAAAAAAGGTATAAAAATTTGTGGACAACGCTTGAACCATCTAAGGTACGCTGATGACATTGTATTGATAACCGATACAAAAGAAGAATTATTTGAAATGATGAAAGAACTGGACTTAAAAGCTGGAAAGATAGGCCTTAATATGAATTACAGCAAGACCAAAACTATAACAAATACAGATGAAGACATCACTATGAGAATCGGACAACATGAAATATAACAAGTTAAGGATTATATATATCTTGGTCAAACTATAAAAAGTAACAAAGAGAACCAAACAGCAGAGATCAAGAAACGAGTTAGACTGACATGGGCGGCATTTGGCAAACTAAACTAGATTCTTAAAAACAAAATGATTAAAAGATATCCACAGCATCTTAAGACCAAAGTATATAATCAATGCGTACTCCCTGTTCTTACTTATGGTTCCCAAACGTGGACATCTACAAAAGCAAACATGGACAAAATTATAAAAACCCAAAGAGCAATGGAAAGACAAATGTTGCACATAAGACTAACGGATAAGAAGAGAAACGAGTGGATAAGAGAGATAACAAAAGTGAGGGATGTTAGACAAGAAGTTGCAAAATTGAAATGGAGATTTGCCGGACACAATATAAGACAAAAAAAGACCGATGAAACAAAATTCTTATAAGTTGGAGACCGTGGGAATATAAACGAAGCAGAGGAAGGCCCCAAATGAGATGGGCAGATGATATCAAGAAGCACGTGGGCTCTAGATGGATGACTGTAGCGACAGACAGAGAAGAATGGAAAAGGATTGGGGAGGCCTATGTCCAAAGATGGACCGAAGAAGGCTAATTAGATAGATAGATTAGATTCAGCATCAAGGGCTAGCTTTGAAGTAGCTTGGTTGGTTGCTCAAAATACGAAACCATACACTATTGGTGAAGATTTGGTTAAACCAGCTTGTGTAAAAATGGCAGAGATTATGTGTGGTCAAAAAGAAGCGAAGAAACTGATGTCAGTGCCCTTGTCTTCCAGAATTGTGAAAGAACGAATTTCTATATTAGCAGAAAATGTGAAAAGGTTATTTTCGCATTAAAACAGGCTAAATATTTTGCTATTCAGCTTGATAAGACTAATTTTAGTAGGAATTCACAGCTAATGGTATATGTTCGCTACAAAGGCGCAGATAAATTTGAAGAATAATTGCTGTTTTGTTCTGTTTTGCTGTTTTATTTGAAGAATATATTAAAATTGTTAAATAAATAAAATATCTAATTAATATTTATTTATTATATAAGATCTACTTCTCTTGTTAATATCGGAACACTCTATATAAATGACTCAGTTATTTTATCGGATTCTTTCGAAACTTCCTGTTTTTCTAGTACAAACACTTCAAATAAACCGTTTGGTTTGGTTTGGGTACAAAAGTGTGGGTATGGATAAGTAAATAATGGCATTATTATCTTCGTGTACCATATAATTACACAGTGTCTTAATAGGTACAGCAGTAGATATCCTGTGGAAGTAATTTAGAAACTAGGAAGACAAGAATAATCTAATAGATGATTGTCAGTTGTTTAATACAATTCTAAAAGAATTTTCTTGAGATAATTCTTATATTTACTACCACTGTATTATTTTATTATTTTGACTTTTAGATCTGAATTTTTGAGCAATTAAATTTATTTTTTTTACTACTTAGCTCATAGCTGATATAAAACACTGATGAAACCTATTGATGATATGACGGAGAAAACTAGAAACCTAAAAGGCTGCAAAAGTCACTATAACATATCAAAATCTAAGAGGATCTGTTTATCTGCCAACCTAAATATATCAAAATTACATAAACTATATAACGTTCAATGTACAGATAATAACCATATCTCCAGTTTGACGATGTTTGCCAATATTTTTGGAACAAAATTCAATATCGGATTTTCTCCCCTTGCATCTGATTACTGATCTCTGTGTACTCCATTAAAGGACAAAATTAAAATAGCAAAGGGTGAAAAGGAAAGAAGCGACTTATGTTAAAGTACAGAATTCGTACTAAAAGAGGCAATGCTTTTTATGAGTTAGCAAGAGAAGTGCCACCGGATTCAATCTTCTTTTGCTTTGATATGCAGCAACACGTATTAATGATACGTTTTATGCTCAACAAGTGAGTTTTTAAAAGTCCCGTATTCTACACATGGACAGAAGATATGGCTGGAAGAGGATCGATAAAAGTATCATCTGCGTTACTTTATCATCTGGATTCATTAAATCTTGAAAATAAACAATAAGTTCGTTTATTTGGTGACGGAAGTGGAGAGCAAAATAAAAATGCTAATGTTATCCATGTCCTCTACTATTGGCTGAAGAAAAATTCGCCTGAAAAACTAAAATTTATCTTACATTCCCTGTTAGAAGTCACAGCTTCTTACCAGCTGACAGAGTGTTTGAGAGCATCGAAAAAGCCTTAAGATAATGGGCTTCTTCAAAGACAAAAGAAGAATATGAAGAAATTTACCGCTCTTTTGGAGCTGTAAAAAAACCTTTAATCTGATTGGATTCTGTATGATGCTAAACAATTGCAATCGAGTTAAAAAAAATTGATGGAATATCAGATGTTTAAAGAATTATATTGAAGAAAAATTATCCCTTACCAATAACAATTACTTGCTTTGAACACTTTAGGTTCGAAAGTAACTCTGAAGTTCCTAAAACGTTGCTAAAGAAAGGTAAAACAGACACAGTTGACACTAGAAACTGCGAGATTAGGAAGACCACTAAAAGAAAAAAAACATTTACAACATTTACTGATGCAATAATTTGAAAATATTTGGGAAGAAGAAGAAGACCTTAAATGGTATATGGATATTCTAGAAATCCGATAAGATGACACTGCTAATGAAGGTGATGAAATGGAAACTCAATGTGATTGTATAGAAGATGATAGAGGCCTACATACAAATTTTGTATAATTATGTCTGGTAATTTACGAGATAATTGACCGTTTCCAGACTTTTGGTCCACTCTGTATAAAGAAATTTTTTATTAATAACTTTTTTTGTCATCTGATATTAGTAGTGCAAAGGGAACCACTTAAAAGTTCTTAAATATTATTAAAATCCTTACCTTGTAAATATTTAAGCACACCATTTTGACACCAGTGGCAAACACAGCACTTTTTAACACTTATTCTTATTTTATAAAGTATCTCCTTAAAATCCCCTGAATCAAATAGATACGCATGTCACAATTGTGTAAACGCTCGATATTTAAGTGCTTTAAAAATATGTGCACAAAAATCACACGAAGATAAACGTCGAAAGTATTTACATACTTTTATTTCATTTAGTACTATCAGTACAATGTTTAATATAACAATTAATTGATAGTATACTTACTAATAAAAATAAAACTTTCTTTCTAAACCGATAACGCACAGGAAAAAGTAAAATCATGATTTTAGACTTGATTACGGTTCGACCTTAGCTGACATGGTAAAAATATAAACAAAAAGTCCCAGAGACCGATAACAATAAAAATTTGTTTTAACTGATGATATTACTAACACATTATCCATTATTGTAGCTTAGAACTCATGAGTAGTGGTTTGTGGTTTTGCAAATGTGAAAGTAGATATATAGGGTGGCCCATTACTGCATTGTACATCGATTAACAATGGTCACGCAATTCAAGTAAACACATTCTGCTAAGTAAAAAACTCAACATAATAAAAAATACAGTAGTTGCTACTCTTTTATTCTTGTTTAACGTAGATAATAGCAAACGGGATAAAAAAGAACGCACATTTCAAAAAATTAACAAGATATAATCCAATAACAGGAAGAATATTGTTCTGAAGCTATTTTCTTGTGGCATTTTTAATTAATTACTATTTAACTGGGAATAAGCCACAATTAAAGGTAAAAATACGTTTATTGACGTTTCAATTTCCACTTCTGAAATCGTTCTCAAAATACGGTATTTTGTGTATTTTGTGTATTTTGATACACAATGAAATCATTTATGTTTTTTAAATAACGAAACATATAAAATCAGAATTTTGGTGTTTATTGGAGGTAAACTAAATGCACTAACAAATACTTACCATGTCGGGATAGTATTATGAGGTTTTTTTCCTGGTTTTTCCCTCATAATTTACTATGGAATCACTAACAGGGGAATTTTACTGTCATCATGTCATGTGTTTGTCTTTTTAAAGACGAATTACATGCTATGATTTTTTTCTGACGGATATTCTCAAGTTAAAGTTGATTTCATGTAATCGAATGAACTATCTTATAAGTAAAGTCGTCACAAGAGCGCAACTCAACAATATTGGCAATATCATTTTAAAGTCGTCTACTTTAAAATGCATAATGTATGTCTGAATTGTCAATATAAATGAGTCAGATAAAATTAAATTATTAGAAGAATTTTTCACTATGTAACAAAAAACAAAATTTGTTTAATTTACTGTTTGCATTTTGAGAACGATTTCCGAAGTGGAAATTGAAACGTCAATAAACGTATTTTTATCTTTAATTGTGACTTATTCTCAGTTATATAGTAATTAATTTAAAATGCCACAAGAAAATAGCTTCAGAACAATATTAAGTTTATTGACGTTTTAATTTCCACATTAAACAAATTTTGTTTTTTTGTTACTTGGTGAAAAATTCTTCTTATAATTTAATTTTATCTGGCTCATTGATAAGCAAAAACCAGAAAAAAAACCTCATAATACTAACCTCACATGGTATCTAAGTATTTGGTTGTACTTTTTGATACCAAACAACCAAATTCTGATTTGTTTGTTTTGAACACCAAATTCTGATAAAGAAAAAAATAAAGAATAATGCAAACCGACGATTACAACAACGACGCAGAACACGACAAATAGATAAAGAATATAATGCTAAGGAAAGCAAAGCAAAAAACGGCGGTTTGAGTGACTAAGACCATAGGCGGAGCCACTGCCAGCCAGCTTGGGAATACCAATGCGATTTCTGCAAGCAAAAATCTAAAATTAAGGCATATCCTAGGAAAAATTGAAATTTACAATAGACGCAGAACATTTTGTTTTCTTATTTTTATTGAGAGTGCCATTGATAACAATAATTGAACATTTTTGAACCAGACTGTTAAAGAGTTTTATATTCCGATACAGCTCATTCTGATCTTAAAACAAACACTTACAGTACACAGCAAAGTTCTTATTTAAAACGAACCAGTAGATACAATTCTTATTAGAGATGGTTTAAAATAAAGTTTTATAGCCCATGCCTTTTATTTAATATAGACAGTCGCCAAGCCAACACAAGAGAGACAATAATACAAAAGTATAAGAATATTAACATTCCTAGCAGATTATTAGAAAGTTTAGCTGAGCACGTAATGATGGATGATTAGATCAAAACCAGAAGTCTTTTTAAAGAAGTATCATCCAATGTCACTAATATGGGTGATATCAAAATTGTTTGAAGTACTTTAAAAAAAAATCCATGAAAAAGAGAAACATCTGACATAAAGTCATCAATTTAGGTTCGCAAAGTAGATTTTATAACAAAATTAGTACAAAAACACAGATTTCAGTTCAGTTTGTATAAATCTTTTATACAATTTTATGTACTTAATATAAAAAATAGTTTATCTAAAGTGAAAGTGGTATTTATTTGGGCAAAAGGACATGCCGTTATAATAGTTAATAAGAAAGTGGACTGGTTGGTAAAAGATGAAATAACAAATTATGAAAACCTAACTCAAATTTTATCGTGTGATGCAATAAATGATGTTAAAGGTTGAAGTTTTAGTGACACTGTTGAACCAAATTTATAGTTCTGGCGTATTACCCAAAGAGTGGTTAATGTCGATTTTTATTTGTCTTCCTAAAATGAAAAACCCAAGAGAATGCAGCTATTACCGCAGCATTAGCTTGATGTTTTATGTGCTAGTCATCCATAATCGAACATATCACAAACTGGATATAGACGTTAATGACACACAATTTGGTTTTCGCAAGGGCCTCGGAACGCCTGAAGCTCTTTTTTCACTTAATATACTGATACAAAGATGCCTTAACGTCAATCAAAATATATACGCATATTTTATTTACTATAATAAAGCATTCGATAAAGTACGACATAACCAATTAATGAATAATTGATATGAGGTTGAATGCTCGAATAAATGGGCCTCCATCAAGGGGATGGCACTTGAAGAAGGAGAACAAAGGTAGAATGTATAAAGTATGGGAAAAAGATTGGAACAATATTTCAAGCTTTTCAAAAAATTTATATTTTTTTGCATCAACAACTCTCTTCGCCACGTGAATATATATTTAAATATAACCTACCAAAGCGGCTGTGTTACCAACTTTGCTGTGTTACGAAGAATAAAAAAATAAAAAGAAGTTGAAAGAACAATAAAAGAAAAAAACTACAATATTGGGCAAAGGAAAATACAGCATCTTAGGGCTCATAATTTTGATAAGGTCAGAAGAAGTATGTGAAAAGGACAATCATCTTGGCTGAAAAAGCTGAATTTGAGCTCAAACCAATTCTTTAAAACAGTTGCTTCAAAAGTTAGAATGATCATGACGATTACCAACGTCTTTATTAGAAATGGTCTAAGTGCCATTATAAGGAGGAAAACGGAAAATAATTATTATTTATTAACACAAAGGCATGCACTTTATTCAATAAAACTAAAAATCCCTTTTAAAGGTCTGCAACGAATCTTAATAATAAATTCGTTGATTTTTAATACGTAAAGGTTTCTCTTAAACGTATTAGATTTTAGTAAGCTCAAAAAGTAAAAGATGTCGCCACTAGGTCAAAATTAAAATTAAACATTTAATAACATTGTTTCAATAGGAGTATACTGCATAAATAAACTGCTCCGCATAATTCTGTATAAACTGCTCAACATAATTTAATAAATTTTATGTTCATTTGAAAGGTCCTAAATTTAGTTGATAGATGCAAAAAAGTTACAAAAAAAAATTTATACAAATTTTTATTTATTTATCTCAATTTTAGAGCCCAATTGACAGCGACTGTTTTGATTTTGCTTCTTCTTTATTTATTTTTCTGTCTATCTCACAATTCTCAGCATTTGCCTCTAGATTTTAAGTTTTCTAATTTGATTATATCTGCACTGTTTCTGGTATTGAATAACTTATTTTTAAAGATTTAAATATGAGACTTAAATCATTCATTTTCCTCCTATCAAGTTGAAAAACGGCAACTGGGCTACAGCTACAAGTAACGAACAGAAAGCAGAACGATTTGCAGATCATTTAGAAAGCAAGTTCAAACTCAACGACAATGATGGTAAAGAACTGAAAGGGGAAGAACATTTACAAACCGAAGAAAGAATAACGTTGACATCATTTAGAGTATTAACAGAGATAAAATACAATATAAATCCTAAGAAAGCTCCAGGATATAAACTTATAACAGGAGAACTTATTTACACTTTGGGCCATATTTCTGGCGTTGCAGTTTTAAGAGCTTCTTGTCACATTTCCCTAACTGCATCGTCACTGTATCCACTGCATTCAACCTGATTATCATAATGGGTTTTGTCTCTCACTAGTTTTGTCAACATTCTTTCCACCATTTATGTCACAGAATTAAATCTAATCTTAGGTTATTTCTTTCACATTCAAGCATTATATGTGATAAGTGTCTGAAGTAGAGATATTCGACGAGGACGAGTTTAACTCGCTTGAGCGTGTGAAGATATCATGAAAACACCCATGATCTGATCTGCATCTGATAATATTCTACACTACTTACCTTAACCTAACATAACCTAACCTTATCTACCTCGTTTGTAGCTTAACTGTTCTTGTATAGATATTCTTTCACATACTTTCTTCTTCTTCATTATTTCATATTTTGATATTGTTCTGAAGCTATTTTCTTTAGGCATTTTAAATTAATTACTATTTAACTGGGAGTAAGCCACAATTAAAGATAAAAATACGTTTATTGACGTTTCAATTTCCACTTCGGAAATCAATTTACTGTTTGTATTTTTAGAACGATTTCCGAAGTGGAAATTGAAACGTCAATAAACGTATTTTTACCTTTAATTGTGGCTTATTCCCAGTTAAATAGTAATTAATTTCATATTTTGCTTCTGTTATTTTTAACATTTTTATCTCATCTTGACTGGGGATTTGTAATATTATCCTTTATTATACTGTATTACGTTTTTTGATTGAACATTATTTATTAAAATATTATTAAACTCTTGCACTTTGCTAAATGTGATTTCATGTGCATCTTGTTGTTTTTTCTACAGCTTCCATCCATTTAAACTGTTATTACGAAGTTTTTGCACTATTGTTAATCTTACTTTATTGTCTGTCTCATTAAATCTATAATTATTATTAATATAATGTAAAAATAAGAAATTGGATAAGGAAACAAGTAAAAAATTATTAAAATTAAATTATTTTATTTTTTTCATACGTACTCCTTTGTTTTAATCTGAAATTTAAGAATTGCTGATGGTAATATCAAATATGAAATATTAGTTTAAATAATTTAACAAACAGTAATAAACACGTCTTATAAAAGCCGAATTGGGTTAGTTTCCTTGTGTGGCTGAATTAAACTGAATAAGAACTAGTTCGTAGGTGACCACAGCTCCTGCAATCTAAAAAAAATACAGCAGATTTTTTAAAAATTAGTATTATATTTTTTATACTCACACTAAGAATAATTCCGCGAGTTATTTTAAATAGTCGGCAACCAGTAAGGGCTACATTGTCAAAACCTATTTGCATCAACAATCTTTTTACCTGAAAATATTTCATTTGTACCTTTATTAAGAATTTATTAAAAAAGAAAAAATGGCTATGACTATATATTGATTGGGATTGGAACTGTAAGCACTTCAAGCATGAACAATTTAATGGCAAAAATATAGTTTCAAAATTATTTATTAATTTGATCTAACATTTGTCTCTCTTCCTTATTTCTATTGCACAAACGTAATAGCCAAACTTTTTTTTGTCTTTTGCCTATAGATATATCATTAAGTTCAACTGCTTTATATTCATCGTTTGTTATTGTTCTTACAATTGCTGGGTATATATGTTTATCGTTTTCTTTAAACAGTCTTTTCGTGTCAAAAATATGGGTTATATAGTGCAGATATGTATAACTCGAAATCGAAGATGAATAAACTTTATTTTTACACCCCATATATATAATGGTAAAGAGAAACGATAAGAATCAAGTCATGAGAAAGTATGAAGTCGGTGATGGGAAAAAACTGTTTCAGTTTGCACACTACCAAAATATGCCTATTGTACATACATTCTGGAACTGCTTAAATTCGTTGACAAAATAACCTAGAAAACCTTAGCAGACATATTTACGAACTATATAAGATTAAGATGCACACCATAGGAATTAAGTTGCTTAAGGAGGTATGGGTGTTTTTTTTTTAGATTAGTGATAATTCTCCATGCTTCCGTAGTCTGAAAACCACCCATTAAATTTTCAACTTAAAGAGATTTTTGTTCCCAAAAATTGTTTTTTGCTTCTTTTATTTATTTGAGTACTTCTCAGTCTTTCCTTTGATGTGTTACTCTATTGGTAAAAATTAACTTGACAAAAACAAAAACCATGTAAAATGAGCTAGTGGATGTCCTTCTTCTTCTTCGTCAGATGCAAATCCACTAATGGATGTTAGCAATCACATTTTCCATTAATTCTCTATTTCTTGCAATATGTATCAGAGATTGTATTTAACGACATTGTATGTCATTAATCCCTGTCCATTGCCTTATATTTCGGAGCCAGGACATTTTCTTGCGTCCCATTCCTCTTTTGCCTTCAATTTTACCCTCGATTATAATTTGGAGGAACTGGTATTTTTCATTTCGCATGATGTGACCTAGATACGCCGTTTTCCTTTTCTTGATGGTTTCGAAAAGTTGGCGTTCTTGGTTTATTCTTTTAAGGACATCTATATTTGTGATTTTTGCTGTCCATGGTATTTTTAGGATACGGCGATAAAGCCACATTTCGAAAGCTTCTAATCTGTTTATATCCCTCGTTTTGAGTGTCCAGCCCTCTACGTCATATAGCAGCACTGACCATACGTAGCACTTAGTAAACCTTAGTCTCAGTTGAAGATCAAACTCTGAACAAGTCAGTACTTTCTTAAATTTTACGAAAGCTTGTCGAGCTTGCTCAATGCGACATTTTACTTCCCTGTCCGATGCCCAGTCTTTAAAGCCACGATCCCAGGTATTTAAATTTACTCACTCTTTCAATGGACTTAGTATTCAGTGTTATGGTGAAGTTTTCAAGTGCATCAAAGTTTCTGGAGATGATCATAAATTTGGTCTTTTTGGTATTAATCTCTAATCCCATTCGCTTACTGTATTCTCCGATTATAGTGACAAGTTGTTGAAGATCGACTATGTTGTCACAAATTAAGACACCATCATCAGCATATCGTATGTTGTTGATCAATACTCCATTCACCTTGATTCCCATCTCTGCATCCTCCAAAGACTCTTGAAATATGGCTTCCGAATAAATGTTAAATAAAAGAGGGGAAAGCACACATCCCTGTCGAAGGTGGATGTCCAAGTAATAATAAATAACACTGCACTTAAGACAGTAGACGAGTATGTATATCTGGGACAACTAATACATAAATCTGATAAATCTGGCTCCTTAATTCCAGGAATCAACAGAAGAATTAAACTGGCTTGATCATCTTTTGGTATAAGTGCAGTTATATTTAAATCTTCACCTGAAGAAAAAACATTTGATCAGTGTATACTACCAATTATGACATACGGCGACATCACGGCAAAACTTAGATACTAAAGAAAGAGATAATAACGAAACCCAAAGTCACTAAAAGGTCAATGGAGCGATGCATGCTAGTTATAACAAAGAGAGATCGAAAAAGAATACAATGGATCACACAGAAACCAAGATCATTGATGTAATTTACGAATTAAATCTTTAAAATGGCAGTGGACAGGACATTTAGCAAGAAAAACTTCCAATAGGTGGTCCACTATAATTACTCTGGGGTATCCAAGAGCCGTCAAGAAATTTAAAATAAAACTATGTTGTAAGAACATGACACAAAAAAGCGAATATTTTAAAAAATCGTTTGCAGAAATGAAGAACAACTCTGAATGATGATGATGATAATATATTACACTTCTGATCCAATTTCTGCTCAATATTAAAGTAGTTATACGTGCTTTATATTTTAAACACTTCATTTAATCAACACTGGGGTCTTATTATCAAATTTCTTCGCTTAGATTTTTTTAGGTATTTTAAATGTTGTACAATATTCACTTTTTTTATTGCCACGTAGCAAAGACATTTGTGAAATTCAGACCGCTCCTATGTAATCAACACCTAAACTTCGAAATACGCTACAGAATGGTCAAGTGCTACATATGGTCCCTCTTGCTTTAAGGTATGGAAACGTGGACTTTGAAAAAAACATCTATCAACAAACTTGAAGCATTTGAAATGTGGTCATTGAGAAGAATGATGCGCATACCTTGGGTGGATAGAGTTCGAAACGAAGACGTCCTTAATAGAGCCGGCGTGGAAAGAGAACTCTTTGAATTAATTAAAAAACGCAAGATTGGTTACCATGGGCACATATTGAGAGGAGCAAAATATGAAATACCACAGTTAATCCTACAAGGGAAGATCGAAGGTAGGAGAGGAGCCGGCCGCAAACAATTATCCTGGTTAAGGAATATTAAAGAATGGACAGGAATACACAATACAGGTGAGCTGTATCACGCCGCCAAGAACAGAATTCTAGTAATGAGATAGTCGCCTACGCACTTTGGTGTATGGCATGTTAAGAAGAAGAAGAAGCAAAGACATATGTTGCCTTTAGCCTATCGTGTCGAGAGATCTCTTCAATATATTTAAAAATTGTTCCATATACAAAGGTTTAAAAAACGTTTTATTTATAGATTAGAAAATATTCAAACCTAACTGATCTTACCTCGGTATTATAACAAGACGAAGATACAGAATTCAATATATTAGCAGGTTCTAGGCTTTCATCATTTATCCAAGCAGCATATAAAGAAACGCATACTATTTTAAATATAATGTGGACGAACGAGAAGATAAAATATATTTTGCCAACTGTATTAGATCCAACCCTACAACAAAAGTAAAAAATACTTTGGAAGAATCTAGTAAATTAGTTCGTTCTATTTTATGAAATTCCAGAATAAAGAATTTTCAATCTCAACTTTGCGTTTTTTGTGTCCCATAATAATTTCCTATTTGTAAAAAATTTTAGCTAAAATTATTGGTGAATTTGAGACAACATAAACAAAATTAATAAAGAAATAACATAAAAAAGATATGTTAAAAAATAAATCAAGTTAAAATACTTGTTGGAATGGCACTAACGGTAAGAAATATGTTGGAATAATTTTCTTTTTAGAATTTTTTGGAGTATTCTCCACCAGTTCTTTCGGGACGATATCCGTCAAGTCGGAAATGTTTCCTGGTTTTGGTTTTCCCGGAGTCGTCATTGCTGCTGCTTTAGGTTCCGTCGGTGTGTCGTCAGCGCGACCTTTCCTTGGTGGTGATGATGGGGTATTAAATAACTGGTGAAACGTGTTCAGGGTACGTTCCGCTTCCTTTCGTGGAGTGACAGGCAGCCCAGGTCTCTCTGGTGTTCCTAGTGAAATCATCTCTTCAGAAATCTTTAGTATGTATGCCATATCTATTTGTTGGTTGAACTGGGTTCTGTTTTTAAAATTCGCTGCTTAAGTACTGTCTATCTCAGGGATATGGATCTGAATATTCTGACACCAGCTTGCAGGTAAAAGTTTCACTTCCCGAGGATAGATAGTGTTTCTTTTTCATGACCTGATCTCCTGGGTCTAGACGCCAATCCCTTCGCCTTAGATCGTAATGCTTCTTCTGATCTTCAAAAGCATGTTTCATATGTACTTTTGCCTTAATGCTTCTAATTTATTTAACTATGGTAAAAAAACTATTATGATTCTAATACTGTCAATACTTATTTAAAAAACATCTTACTCTAGACTTTGATAAAGCTGCATCAATAGGAAAAATAAGTTCAAAGTGTATGATAGCAGGATAATATATGAAATATTGTTGTCCAGTTCTTTGCATAAGGAACTAAGTCTGTCAAAATCCTCACGAATCTCCATCCAAAATTCCTCGTTTTTAGCCTGAAACTAAAAATTACCGAACATTATAAACTGACAACTTAAGTTTAAAAAGTGGTCATTATTATGTACTAGAAAGGTGTCTAGAGCTATTGGAATAAGACTTGAAAAAATATAGACTTTTGCCAATCACAAAAATAGGCTGTGGAAAATAACTTGGACAAATACTGAAGTACTAAATGATTACAAATATATCATATATATTCCGAATACATTTACAATGTCTACAAAACGCAACAACAAGACTCCACACGGAGAGTGACAAATATCAGAAGGCCAGGCAGCTTAATACCTACTGTGTCACCAAAACTGTTAATAAACATCTTAAATCATACTTTTAAGGTACTTATAGAAATAAATCTTGATGAAAAACAGGGTTACGTTAAGCTTTCGACTCTCTTTCTGGAGTCTTCACCAGGACTTTACTTTAAAAGGACCTTTAAAGTTTTCTGTTTGGTAGTTATATATGATCATTAGCAGTACACTTTGATTAAAGACCTTTATTTTTTGAAAATAGCAGAAAACTAAGAACTAAGAAGGGAATTAAAAATAGGAAAACACGCTAAAGAATCCCAATATGTGAAATTTTCAAACATATTTTTTAACTTAAATAAGACTAGGCGATCCTGTGACAATATTGACGGGTGGTAGGAAAATCTAATGAAGACTATTAGATAAAAGGATTATTACAACATGACTCATCATCATAAGTGGTTCAACAATCCATTGTGGATCTTGGTCTGCTCATAAAGAAGTCGCCACTCCTGTCGATTTCTGGCAGCTTTCCTTCATCTTCTGATCCTTAGAATCTGTAGGTCTTTTTCCACATCATCAAACCATCTCATTCGTGGTCGTCCTCTGCTTTTTGTGCCCTCTAGTTTTGAAAATGTTAATCTCTTCGTATATTCGTGATCTCACACCCTAGTAATGTGTCCAGTCCATCTAAGTCTAACTAATATAATTCAAAGTTGTATCTTCGACGTCATAGCCCATTCTCTTTTACTGACCCAAAAATCTTTCTAAGAATTTTTCTCCCAAAAATACCAAGAAGGCTTTAATAATTTTGAAATAAGGTCGACTTTTCAGCCACATGTATCAAAACCGGTCTTATTATGGTTTTGTATATATTGAGCTTTACTGCACGTTTTATATTTTTATTTTTTAAATATTTCTTAAGACCGTAAACAGTTCTGTTAGCTCCTATGTGTCTCTTTATTTCATAGCTTGTCGTGTTTGTTGCTTTTACTAGAGACCCAAGATAAAGTAAAATTCTTTGACTTGCTCAAAGATATGGTGGTTAATTTGAATTCTCTGTTGGATATTTCGGGGGTTTTTAGAAACCAACATATATTTGGGTTTTCCTCGTTTACCACAAGTCCTAATTCACTTGCTGCGTCCGCAAGCCTTGTAAAACACTGTACCATGTCTTCCATAATTCTGCCCACTATAACTATACTGTCAGCGAATGCGAGAATTTGCGTCGATCTATAATAAAAATAGTTCCAGTCATTCTAATATTCAATTATCTGATTGCCTTTTTTAAGGCAAAATTAAACAGGAGACACGTCAGCGCGTCCCCTTGTCTTAGACCATTATTAATGTCAAAGAACGTAGAGTTTCCTCCTTAAATTCTAATGCAAGAGCTTACGTTTTGCATTGTTAGTTGGATCAACTTAATCAACTTCTTAAACTCCACTTGATCACCCAATTCATTCTGCCATAAAAGTACTATTAATTTATGGATTGCTGCAAAAAGTTGATCATCAGCTTTTTTATACATTTCCGAACAGATTTCATCAATTCCTGGGGCTTTAATGTCTTTGAGTTTTAGGATGGCATTTGACACTTTTCTTGTTGGATCTTTACTGTGTAAAAGACGTTGTACATTTTGTTGATATTATATGTTGTAACCTCCTTTAATATCGTTTATATTTAGATGTTCGCTAAAATGCTGTACCCATCTATTAAGAACTGAGTTTTTATCATGCAGAATTTCACCGTTAGTGTTTTTACAAATTATTAATCGTGGTGTAAATTCTCGACAACACGACTACATATGTGTTTAACAAAGGATTTAAAATGAGTGTGGACAAAGTGAATACAAACATTTCAGAACAAAAGAGAATGATTGTTTAGAGAAAGATAATAGATTGGATGATAATAAGGTATCCAGAATTATCAGGCTTTATTTTAAAGTTTCAAAAATTACTGTAGAATAAAATATAAGTAAAAGCTGAAGAAGAAATAAAAATATTACTTGGTAAAGTAGAAATAACATATGATCTATTAGAATTTATAGTGATTTACCTTTGAAAAATCCTTTTCCAACTTCTCTGTAATCTGTCTAAATCTTAAAGCCAAAGTTATACTAACCAATATAACAAACAGATCATTAAACGCTAGTATTAGTGTCGATTGCGTATTAAGAAACTGAAAACAAAAAGAATAATAAGAATAATTTGATAGGATCATAAGATTTTAAATTATTAAAAAAATGTTAATGAACGTTCATCTGGACCATGATCAGAAACACATATTCTTCTTCTTTGGGTGCCGTCTTCTTAGCGAAAGTTGGCGATGGCCTCTGCAAAGTCTTCCCTATTTTGGGCTTTTCTTATTAAACTTTGAAAGTCTAATCCTATCCAATCTTTGATGTTGCGCAGCCAGGTCATTTGTCGTCTACCCGGGCCGCATCTGCCTTTTATTTTCCCTTCTATAATAAGCTGAAGGAAGTTATACCTGACGTGTCTAAATATGTGTCCAAGATAAGACGTCGTACGCTTCTTGACAATTTCTGTGAGTTCACGTTCTCTATTCATACGCCTTAAAACTTCTTCATTTCTAACGCGGTCAGTCCATGGAATTTTCAGCATTCGACGAAATACCCAAATCTCAAAGCTATCAGAATAAAAGACTTACAAAACTACTCACCAAACAATAAATTGCAGTAAACATATTGACCGGTACTACCATAAAAAGATGTGGAAATGTATCTATGAAGAAATACTTGTAGTTATAGTTCACTCCAAAGTTTTCAGTAACCTTGCGAAATCTGTTGTAAATACTAAGTAAATAGTCAACTGAAAAATACTTCATGTATTATAAAAGAGAATATATATATAGATAGGATGAATAAATTGAATAGAAATAATTAAAAATCTTAAAAATCTAATAAACTGTAGTAGTTTTTCTCTCTTTTACAATCTACTATGAATTTTCAAGAATAAAGTTTATGTTTTTTAACAAATCATCACCATCTTATGTTTCTCTACAAAGTTTTCCCCTTATATAGTTCTTCTGACTTATAATATAATAAATAATAGTACATTGTTTACCGGGTAGGAAAAGCTTAACATTCCTGGACGACTGTGAAGATTGCTAAGTCGAGGCGCAAGCCGAGACTTAGCAATACAAAGTCCAGGAATGTGGCTTTTCCTAGGAGGTAAACATACTATTTTTCCGCATATCGTTTAAAATTCGACAGATATTGATTGATTTAAAAAAAAACGCGATAATTTTATTCCCAAATAAATGGTGCTTTGAAATTCCTAATAAAATTACTTGGGTTACTATGGAAACGTATTAAGGTTGAATTGTCAAACTTGACGCTTATAAATTTAATTGCTGGTGTTCTCGAAAGTAAAATGATAAGTGATGATGAAATTTCCATTCCTGGGACTCCTCCAGAGCTGGTTGAGGCAGTGAATACTGCTTCATTAGAATTATTGCCAAAGAAATCAAGAGAAAAGTACGAAAATGCATAAAGACGTTTTATGGATTATCGCATGAGTAAAAATACGAGTTCTTTCTCAGAAAATGTTGTAATGGCATACTTCCTAGACCTTTGTTTAAAGATGAAATCTTCAACATTATGGGCCAATTATTCAATGCTGAAGTTAACCCTTGCACTTAAACACAATGTAGATATATCTACATACTCAAAACTTCGTTCTTTATTGAAACGGCAAGCTCAAGGGCAAAGAAATCTAAGATTTTATCGAAGGAAGAAATTGAAAAATTTATCCAGGAAGCTCCAGATAAAGAAAATTTAATGATTAAGGTAATTTACAAGGTTTTAATTTCTATTTAGATTATAGCTTTATTTATTTTTTAGGTGGCTGTAATATTTGGTATTTCTGGGGCCTGTAGAATGGATGAGTTAGTCCGAATGACTGTACACGATATAGAAGACTTAGAATCTAAGCTTTTAATCAGCATACCTGATTCGAAAACCAACAAACCAAGATCATTTGTAATTAATCAGATCTACTTGAATGTTTATCGAAAGTATGTTTCGTTAAGACCAGAAAATATGAACAGTGACCGATTTTTCTTTTAATATCAAAGCGGAAAGGGTTGTAGACAAGTGGTAGGAATTCATCAATTTAGAAAAATGCCCAAAATAATTGCTACTTATTTGAACTTGGTAAATCCGACAGAATATACTGGTCACTGCTTTCGTCGGTCTTCTGCAACAATATTGGTTGACTCTGGTGCCGACATAACTAGTTTAAAGAGGCATGGCGGATGGAAGTCATCAAACGTTGCTGAAGGATATATCGAAGAATCGCTTAACAATAAGGTTGAGGTGGCAAATAAATTTTCACAGTACAAAATATTCAACAAAATGACACTTCCACCCTGCATGTTGTCCAAAATGTTTCTCATAGTTCTAAGAGTGTTCCTCCAATGTTCAATAATTGTACTAACTGTCAAATTACTGTAAATATAACAAATTGATCTTAAAAATGTATTCAGCAATGACTTGATGTTTTCAAAATATAAATTAATTCCTTATAAGCAATGTGTTTTCTATCATTTATGTAGAACACTAACAACTGTACGGAAATATCATTTCCTTACAGTAAGGAAATGACATTTCCTTACAGTAAGGAAGTCCTGACTTTTTCTTCAAGAAATTTTGACAGGAATGTCAAAATTTCCTGGCGATTTGCGGAAAATAATAATTATTAAAATTTTGAGCACTTTACTTACTAATAACAAAAGTTAGAAACACAACTGAACATATTTTTAGCCTTTTTTCTATCGTCGAAGGATAGCCGTAACGCTTGTTCATAATCTTGTCCATCTGGCACCAAACTGTCAATAATTTTGTCCATCGTCTTGACAATCGAAGAAATAAAAGTATACTCAGTAGTGAAGCTGCGTAAAAAGTATGAATTTCTAAAAAGTAAATGTTATTGTCTCATGAATACTCGGTCTTTAAACTATTTTAGCATTCTCAAACAAAATAATGACACTACACTTATAACAGCACATGAGCAAGAAATGTTTAGTCTTCTGCGAAATGTTTAGTATGAAAGTAATAAAGTTGGTCTGAAAACCAATAATGCCAAGACAAAAATAATGATGGTCGACGGATTTCATACTATTCAACTGACTAACATGTTACAAGAATACCAGATAGTGAACATTTTTGTCCAGTGGTAACTGTAAAGCAGAAGTTAGAGTCCCCTAACTAAAGTTTGAAAAGACAGATCTGTCTATCTATATCAAAATATCAAGATGAAACTGATGAATGTCCTTGTATTCTCAATATTTCTATACGGGGCAAAGATTTGGACTCTTTGCGGAGGTGAGAGCCAAAAAATTGATGTCTTTGAGATATTCTGGTGATGGAGAATGCTAAGATTACCTTTGACAGCTCATAGGACAAACGTGTCTTTTCTAAACCAACTCAAGATTAAAAAAGGCTATCCACAATATATCTGCAACGTATTCTTCAATTTTTCGGTCACATGGTTCGCAGAGGTGACGAAAGTTTGGAGAGATTAATTGCTTCTGAAAACGTTCCGGGGAGAAAATCAAGAGGACGATTACCAACTAGATATTCCGACCAAATTAAAAATTAAGCTGGAAACTCATTCTGCGAAGCTCTCAGAGCAGCAGATCAGAAAAATTGTTAGAACTATTGGAAGAAATCATGATTCTCAGTAATGGGGAAACAACAAGAGAGAGAGAGGACCAAAATAATGTTAAACCAGTTGACCACATACATAACCATGCCCTTGATGCTTTAAGCACCTTTCCAATAAAAAATTTATACAGTGAATGCAGAGGACCATCGTTATAACATAAACGTACACCCTTCTTACTTACCTATGCCATATCCATCGCAGCAAATAGAAACCACGCTTTATCTCGAACTGCATTTACATAAAAGTATTAACATCTCTATGATTATAACCCGCACACCAAAATCTTAGTACCAGCGGGTGAGAATAGCACACAACTCTCTATACAGTAGTTTCCAAATCTTTCTCACAACAAACCTTGACCATTCTTTCCCCTGGGCAGTAAAAGCACACGAGTATATTAGTTTTCTCACTTAATTTGATAAACGAAATAATCCCATTACTTTAATTAATAGCTCAGTAAATAACGTCTTAGAAGCACAAACAAATTTTATTACTGTCTTCACAGATGTATATAAATCTAATGATGGTGTAGGTTCAGATACAGTTTCCCAAACATCTAATCATATGTTCAAACTTTTCTTAGAAACAACCATCTTCACAACAGAAGTATATGCCATATAGCAAGCTCCAATATATTTAAATACCTCTAACATTCCACGTGCTTTCTTTGTTACCGATTCTTTTAGCTCTATCGCAGCCACACAACGTCTATATCCAAAACACCCCAAAATGTTCAGGGATCCCATCACACATTAGATCTAAGGTAATGAAGAAGCATATAAAAATGCGCAAAGTGTAACAACGAGTAAGAATAGTGAATTAGTAAGAGAATACTCACCAT